GGCGCCGGCGGGGGGCGCCGTCTGCCCGCGACCGGTTTTCGGGAAGGGCAGTTGGCGGTTCCGGGCTGGAGAGGCCCCCGGGGCCTGCCTTCCCGTCTGCTCTCAACCCCGGGGCCCCTCCCCGCCTTTCTGCTCTCGTGGACTACTCAGTGGGTCTCGAGTATCTGTGGGGAATAGGGCTTAAGGGCGCTCCCTTTCCACCTGCTGAATTGGCATCAGGGAACTTCAGAAAGAGCCCCAGGGGCTCAGGCCCAGACAGAGGGCGTACACCGAAGCACTGGCTGGGGCTCGGGTGCAGGGGGAACGCCAGCCACACCTAGACCGGGCTGGGGACACAGAGGTAGTAACGTCAAGCCCTCGAACCCCCTCTTTACCACCCTGAGCCCTTGGCCCCCTCTTTGACTCCACACGCCCCCTGCTTTCCGGCCATTGGCTGGCAGGAAGGCAGAGCTGGTCGGATTGGCCTGCATCCGGACAGTGATGGATGGCTCCGTGATGGATGGCTCCCCGCTGAATGGACCGCGACCGAGAGGGTGTCTGCTTTGGCTAAAGCGGGACCAACCAGGCCTGAGAGCGGGGTGGGGGATGAGCTGGAGGCTGGCCTAAGGCTCAAACTTCTGTGCTCTCAATCTCCCTTTGAACGCTACTGAGAAAAAAATCTTACCCCTGATGCCTAATAGACATCCTTCAACTCCGGAACCTGATGTAGGCAAAGGTGAATAATTTACCCAAAGTAGTTTGGGCACAACCCTATGGACCTCCCTTTCCCTCTTAACTGGATCTCATTCATGTAACAATATTCATGTGCTCCGTTCGTTCATTCATTCATTCATTCATTCATTTATTCAAATATTTGAGTTTTTGCCAGGAGCCAGGCATTAGGGAAAGAAAGGGAGGGAGATGGATTAGCAAGTGACTGGGCCCAAATGTGGCAGTAGGGTAGGGGTAGAAGGTTGAAAGGAGAGAGATTCAAGGACTATTTCAAGGTAGAAATACCTTCTGAAAATCAAATGGTGTTCTTTGTCTTGCTCTAAGTGGTGGTAAAAATTCACAGAGCTTACACTTAAGACATGTTCTTTCCTGTAGGTAAGTCATTACTTCAATTAAAAAAAAAGAAAAAGTAATCAAATTGCCACCAATTTTACTCTACGGTCAACATTTGTATGGTCTTCATCTGTTTCCTAATCTCTTCTTTATCTCTATCAACTAAAACCAGAAAATATCAGATGAGGATCTGAAGAAATGAGTGATTATGAAATACATGTAGACTTTATACTGTACATACAGACGAATGCTGCCCCTCAAAATGGACTCTCTGGTAAAGAAAAGCAGTGTTGATAAAAACAATAATAGTAGTAGTAAAATAAAGTTTCTTTTGGAATAAATTATTTCAATAGACATTTACTAACTGGCTGTTCTGAGCCAGACACCTTGCTGGGGGTTGGTGGGAGCTTCTAAGGTAAATTGGAAGACACAGTTCCTGACCCAACAAGGTCACAACTTGACTGGGAACAAAGTTGTATATGCAGAAATTATAAGCATTGACAGAGGAGATGGTGTGTTACGTAGTATTTGATAGAAGGAAGTTGGGGAAAGAGACGCTACAAAGGGAGAGATAGTATAAGCAAAGCAAAGAGGCAGAGAATCTCCGTCAGGAACTGCAGGCAGGCACAGGCAGCCCAAATGGAGGATGGGTGTCTCTGTGGGAGGCTGGGGTGTGTTGAGACATAAAGCTTCTCCCTCAACAAGTAGTGACTGGATCAATGTGAGCACTGAATGCCATGCTAAAGAATCTGCTCTTTACTGAGTTGACTACTCTGTGCACCTTAGAAATACTGTTGTCTTCAAAACAACCTAACTAAATGGACTCTGTTAGCCCTGTTTTTACAATTGAGGGCCCAAGAATTTGGATAATTTGCCTCAGGGCCCAGGTGAGATTTTTAAACCCAAACTGGTCTGTCTTCATTGCCTACTGCTCTTTGCCCCAACCACAAGAGCTTGGTTTGTATTCTGGAGGTGATAGGGAGCATTAAAGATTTTCAAGCAGTTACATGATATCGATTCTGCATTTTGCAAGGAACTCTGCCAGCAACGTGGAATGTGGATTGAAGAAGGAAATAAGAATTTAGGGTCAGGGCAAGACACACAGAAGACAATCATTTTCATTATAATCACTTCTCACTCTTTATCTAAACAGTGCCATCCAGCTTGTTTGTGCATCTTGTCACCAAACAGCTTGCAAAAATCAAGTCCACTCAGAGTTTGAAGAGTTAGTGCTTTTGAATTCATTCAGATAATTTCAGGCAATCATTCCACAACAGGGCTTCCAAAGGGACCATTTTGGGGGGAGGGCATAGCTCAGTGGTAGAGCACATACTTAGCATGCATGAGGTCCTGGGTTCAATCCCCAGTACCTCCACAGACAAATAAACAAATAAATCTAATTATTGCTCCCCCCCCAAAAAACAGCAACAACAAAAAAAGAGACCACTTTGTTATGGATGATGATTTGACATTTACATTCTGAAAGTATGTTAAAAAGTAATAAATCAGTAACATACCAGTGGGGAAAGGGAAAGGGAAGGGGGAGGGGCAAAATAGGGGTAGAGGATTAAGAAGTACAAACTACTACGTGTAAAATAAATAAACTACAAGGATATATTGTACCGCACAGGGAATATAGCCAACATTTTATAACTA